AGTGTTAATTAAATAATGTTTCATATGTTTCAATACAAAACAAAACCGATTAATAGCACATTAATTAATGATAAATTGAATGCAATTTATGTTACCTTTTGTAGTAATACCATTAATTGTTTGATTTTTTGTGTAAAATATTTTTTCTTCAGATTATTGCTAATTATTTGACGAATGGATTGACATTTCATTTGACAATATTATAAAATATATATTTATATCCAATTTTACCTCAAATTAAATTAAATTACAAATTAATAAAAATATAAATAAATTCTCATAAAAATATGTAGTTTTGAAAACGCTATTCATATGCTAATTATATTTAATAAAAATAATTTTTAAATTAAGTATTCAGTGTATCATTGGTTTAATTTATACTGAATTCAATGTATTTTACAAATGATTGACTTTTTAATTGTTTATTTGTGTATTAAATGTGTGAAAATGATTGAATGGATAATGAATTTCGAAAACTGTATCAAATGTGTGAATACTGACACGACTCGGAGCCATGAAATCAGTAGTAGTTTTGGGAACAGAGTCGGTGTGTCCGCCGGGATCACCAACCGGTCCCTCCGCTACTACTGACGAGCGCTCACTCCGTCGAACCACATCTGAAGCCCCCGTCAGTCGAATAGTCTTCCTTTCAGTGGACTTAGTCTTAGAAGTGCTGTCTTTGTGAGGAAGGAGTGAACGGTTCAAACACTCAGACCGTGGGAGTTGGTCTACCCGTCCACTCGAGTCACGCTTGACTCGGCTCTTCCTCTCCACCCTTCTGTCCAAATATGTCGAGTCTTTCCTGACTATAGAACTCATCCTTGTCTTTGAATCAAATGCTATAATCGGTGGTAAATCTGGAGATAAAGTTTTTGTAGAACTGTATAGAAAGCGATACAAAAGCGAAACAACTTTTCAAACAACAAAACGAATCGACTTTTTATTGTTAAAGTTTTCAAAGTTTGAAAATTTGAATAAAATTTGAGTTCAATTCTTGTCAAATAGTTATTAATCTTATAAATATAATCAATAAGTATTATACAATTATTTGCTAATTATTAATTACATGTTAATTTTATTTATTAATAATTCTGTTGTTTGTCGATATTTTATTGCCACAATAAATAATTATTATTACTATTGTAGTGTATTACCAAAACTTCCAAATCGTATTTAAGTGTATTTTTCAAATAATTGTATTTATTATTAATGGAAAGCTAATGAAAATCTTTATTTTGTATTCATTTTAATACTTTTAAGTCAATCTCATTCACAATAACTTACATCTACTCTAACTAAATATATTGAAGAATATTTAAGATTCTGTTTCAATAAAAACTTTGTAGACTTTAATTAGTAAATTATAAATTTCATTATAAGTTATAATTTATCACTCAATCGCATACTTCTAATTAAAACTTTAATAAAAATTAATTCATATATCAATATATAAAATTGTGCTAATGTGATATTTGCGATAAATTAATTACATAAGAAAATCAATTTTATTCAATCTATATATTTAGTCAATAAAAGGGCCCACTTTTGGGACCACATCTCTGTCAAGTACTTGAGTCCATCCAAAATGAATGGAAAGTTAGTTTAAATTTTCAATAATTTGATGAACAGATAGGAGTAAGGGTTCGGTGGACTTAACACATGATAAGCCAAAAGGAGAGCACCGGTACTCGTGTTTATGAGGCCACGAGTTCAGTGTGTGGGTGCCATTCCCATACACGCCAACCAATCGCCACAATCAGCCAATATATGGTACGCCAAAAGTCTTCGCAGACAAAAGTCCGGTGCAGATAATCATCTCATATATGGGGTGATCAGTGGTGGACGGGTGTAGGGGCGGGGGTGGAGTAGGAAAGGAAGTGGCAATCAGTTAAACCACTGAATTTTGAGCGCAGTTTTATTAATAGAAGTTTTTAAAACAAACTTTTGTTATCTGTTTTGTGAATATGAGATAAAATTAATATTTATTTACAAACATATCGGTAATCAATGAAAACTATTTGTGTATTTCGTGTTAAATACAGTGAATTCTGTGTTAATATTTGTTTTTTGAACTCAAAATAGTTGATTAAATACACACAGAATATACACATAAAAGGATAGATATATTATATGGGAATTGAAATGTGAAAATATATAATTCTGTACAATTGTATTAAATATACACATTTATACAATTTAATGCTATACTTAGAAACAAGTATTTATTTAATATAATTAACGTTAAGTTACATATTAAATGTCTAGTTTAAAGCAATTAAGTTAAAAACTTTAATGAATTGTTTCCTCATTTCGTTTCAAATGTAAATTTACTTCAAATTTGTTTTTTAAAACTTATCTAAAGAGAGAGGTTTGAAGACATTAATTAATTACATGAGAAATGCTTGCAGAGCCTTTAATAGGAGATTGTCATGAATTATATGAGTATTTAGTTTATCGTTAAGAATAGTATAAACAAAATAACGAATTTTGTTATAAAAACAAAAACTGATGAGAAAAAAGTGTTATTTGGAGTAAAATCCTTGAAAACTCTAATAAAAGTTAATGTTTCGGAAAATATTTTTGATCAGATATTGTTATAAAATATTTTTAACGTTAAAAAACAAGTTTTGCTATCATTTCCAGTATTTCTATCTTAATGTATGAATTTGATTGAAACTCAAAAGCTTAACACTAATTCTTTAAATGATTTTATTTTCATACACTTTTCAACTACTGTTACATAACTGTCTAATAAATAAGTTATTAATACAAAGTTATAATGAAATATAAAAATACGAAAAACATTGAGAGAAATAAAAGTTAATTTCAAAATGAATATCATGTGAAGGTTTTTGTGAATTGATTTTTCTAATTGTGTTTCAAAAAGTGCTTAAATTTTACAATGAATGGAAAATTCTTATAATTTATAAATTCTTTATGAATCTATTGTATTGAAAACACAAAGTTTTTAATACATTGTGATTTTGCTATCGACATACTTGCGTTAAACATAAGTTAAGTGTTTTATTATAGATATAGAAACTAATAATTAGTTTATAAGCGAAAGTCGTGTTCAACGAGAAATCAATGCTAACGACACACTAACTCCACGTTATAATTGTTATCAAATATAAGAAAAGTATTTCAAAACTTTTTTATATTACACACATTTCAGTGGTTTAGTCGCCATTGAAACCTATATTATTAATAATAAATACCAATACCTTAATAATTATATACATTTAAAATCCGATTCGTAATCATTTTCCACAAAATCTAAAAGTTTAATAAAGTTTGCGCTTAAGTCTAGTCCACGACTTTTAATGTGAAAAGTTTTGCTAAATTTATGTGAATTTTCATTTTCGTAGTAAAAACCGTGTGTTTATTCATAAAAAGTCTATTTATATCACCAGTGTATTTATAATAAGCCGCTCACACATACGGTGTATATCATCTGGCAAGTTTATTATATCGTATAGTTAACAGCGATATACGAAAAAATGTTTAACTAATTACCCCGTTCATTCGCACTCCCAATAATAACCCATTGTTTTACAGCTAAGTCTCCCCTCATATATACGGTATATTAGCCGCTAATTGGATGCCAAAAGTTGCCGTCTAATTGCTAACCTAAATACCCTGGTATACGACAAAAAAAGTATTTTTATTGTAGCCTGGTGATCAAACACACGGCACTCTAACTGTCCCTGAACTGTAGGGCATATTTGCCTAACAGCCCTCTCATAGAGTAAACTCAACGCTACTGTCAGTCACACACAAGTGCTGTATATTTTTGTATACATTTTGACCAAACGTTGCAATTATTAGCACAACTGCAGCGAAGTCTATGGCGAGCAGAGACTCGACATTCACGGCGCGCACCCATAGGCTTAACATTAGGATAGCACTCGCTATCCATATATCGATTGATACTTAAATAGTGGCAAAACTTTATTACAATTAAGTAATTGTCATATTTTCACATATAGGCACCGGTTGGCCATACCTACCGTCCACATACCGTGACAGCGGGACTGACAGCTCGTATTACCGGTGCTCGCAGTGGTAAAGTCCTCGCTCTGTGTGAACTCATACGGAGAGCCACTCCCTATCCTCCCTATGCCTTGATTTTCAATACAGAGTTCAGAGACTCGTATACACAGAGAGAGTGTATGAGTGAGGGGTTGAGTGATAGACGAGTAGTGCTTAGCATTGGGTTAGCATTGGGTTAGCATTGGATAGCATTGACTGCACTTCACATTCACTGGCATTAAAGGCTACCAAAAAGTCAAACAAACCATCGATTGTGTGGTGTCTTTGGCACAACACCTGATCCCACTGTCCATCACAAGCATCTCATCAACTCATTCACCGGTCATTATGTCGCTGTCATTGCCGGTGACATAACGTCTTCGGCCACCGATTGTGTGGATCCACTCATCCATCGATTTGTGGTTTTGTTTTTGTTATGAGTTTTGAGTTTTTCGATGAATTATTCAATACGTAAACAAAGCACTGGTTTCGGTGACAACCTCTCGATGACCGCCGATGACCACCACTTCATGTCCACTACGGATGGTATGACACCAATCATCGCACACCACAGGACTACACGTCTTGTGTGAGAAGTGATTGTCTTCTGTGATAACGACAAGTCTTAAGACTTTGATTACCAATAAAACAAACTTTGATTAAGAAGTAGTGAATCGGTTGCCATCGACAGCGAGACACCGATATATATGTGAGACAAGTGTTGTGTGCATTATCTGTGAGCTAACCGTCGAAGAAGTCGCTATCAACGCAACAAAACACACACAACGATGGATACGCTGAAGAACGTGAACGTGGATGAGATAATCGACGGTCTGGTGGACAAGCGGGAGGACCTGATGTCGATGATGTTCAACTCGACCCTATTGTACGACAACTACAACATCTCGGTCTTTGCCAAATGGCTGCACTCGTTGCCACACATTGACATCCGTCTCAATTACCTGAAGAACACGACATTCAACCCGAACGACAACCAGTACTTGGAGTCGTTGGGCATTCTGGTGGCCATACCTGGCTTTTGGCTGATCCTAACGCTCCTATTCTTCCTCATCTTCTTCCTGTGCCGGTGTTGTGACGCCCAGAACAAGAAGAAGCGCAAACTGACGGCCTGTAAGTGCTGTCTATTCCTGTTCGCCGTGGTATCAGCTCTGGTGATACTCGTGGGCGCGTTCGGCAGTCTTGTGGCACATCAGGGCATACAAGAGGTATATAACAAGACGGAAGACATGTCCCGAGCGTTGCGTACCATACAGAACGACACGCAAGTGATCACTGGACTCCTGAAGAATAACTGCGACAAGAACTACGACGACTTGAAGCAACTGTTTGACAGCAAACTCGTGGACGACATGAGCGTCAAGACGCGGGTGCAGACGATTGTGGTGAGCGGTAAGCGGAATGTGTCGAAAGCCGAGCGACTGCTGGACGAGGTTGGCGTCAGTCTCGAGAAGCTGAACATCACGGCAACGCCCGACCACTTGCGCCAACTGGAGGCCGTCCGATGGCCGACCACTTTCGCGGTGTTGGGCTCACTGGCGGTGATCTGTTTGATACTCATTTGGGGAATACTCCGGCACTCGCGATGCCTACTCATACTGTTCTCGGTTCTGGGATTGCTATCTCTTGTGGTCTGTTGGGTCATCACATCCGTGTATTTGGGAATATCGGTGGCCGGCAGTGACTTCTGCATCGATCCGCAGCCCTTCATCAGCCAACAGCTCAACAACGCCATCGAGGAGAAGGTCTTCGACTATTACGTCACCTGCAATACGAAGAGTCCGTTCCAGAGGAATATCGATGAGACGCAAGCGATCCTCGAGTGGATCAACCGCCACAACAACGAGTTGACGCGATTGTGTCGCACGAAATGCAACCACAAAGACATTACGGACGAGATTAAGGCGATGGGCGCCGACTTCGCCACCATTCGCGAGCGGTTCGACGCGTTGGTCGAGCTGTTGGACTGCCGGCGCTTCAACGACGACTACATTAAGATGATGACCGCCTCGTGTAAGGAGGTGTTGGAGGGGGTGGTGCTGATGCTGCTGTCCTCGTCGTGCGCCGGACTCTGTTTCACGCTATTAGTGTTGTGCGCTTCGCACACGTGGATCAATATCCGCAAAAAGAGGCCATTGAGTGACAACCAGACCGAGGAGACGGACCCATTCCTACCGCCCGCTTCCTCCACGTCGACCACATCGTCGGCCAATTCCAAGCGCATCCGCGACTCGTACGGCAGCGCCAGTAGTGGGAGACCCAGGTATGTGTTGACCGTGTCTTATGTCTAGCGAAGCGCTTGACTTAAATGATTGGTAACTGATTTGATTGATAATAACTGTCGGTTTGTGTCGAACTCCAGGTTCAGTCACACACCGCCCCAAACGCCGCACTTCCCGCCGCCCACAGCGACCCCACCCGCCAACGGACGCTCGTTAGGCCGAGACGATCAGCTGTCGTTCTTAGGGGCGCCCCCACCCGCCTACGAACAGGTCCACCACAACCAGCTGACCGGTCACCAGCAGTTGGCGCACCATCAGCAGCAACAGCACCAGCAGTTAGGGGGACACCCGGGGCATCCCGGCCACCCGGGACACCCGCAGATGATCCAGAGCCAATTCGGTGGCCACGGGGGTCCGCCACACCAGCACAGCCACCAGGCCATCGGCCCTCACTATGTTGTGAGTAGTATTCGCAGATAATTATGCAAATTATATGAATGCCTTTCACTCATGTCTACCAATCCATTGATTCATTTTCCTTTTGTGTCCAACAAATCACACGCGAATCACACACTCATTTCAAATGCATTTTTATATATTTTATGTTTTCAATGTTTGTTTGGATTTTTATATTTTAGACCAAAAAACCAAATAATTTATATTTATTTTAAAAGTCTTTTATTTTATTTTATTTTACGTCAAACTTGTGGTTATTTTTGTTGTGATTTAATTCCACGTTCAAAGTATTCAACACGAAACCAAACCTATGTTTTCCTCCACCAAACAAAGCCCACAAATTATTTGTGTTTTTAAAACATATATTTTTTAATTGATATTTCAATTTAATTATTGCTTTTTTGCGGTCCCATTCACTCCCCGTAGTATTTATGAGTATCGTAATTATTATTGCATTTTTCACATGCATTTGCATACGATTTATACGCTAATTGTATTTTGAAAGCTATTTTGTAGTTGAGATGTATTATTGACTCTTAATTTCTGTGACTATCTCTAAGTTTTTCTTACATTTCTCTCTCTTTCTATTCTCTGTCTCTTACTCTCTGTCTATCTCTCATTCCCATCACTATCTCCCGTCCCCTTTGTCTCTCTCTATAGGCTGATACAGATTTAATGCTGAGGGCCACTCAGGCAACTAAGTTCTAGAGAGAACCCCCTCTACGATATACCAAAACGCCCAGTGCTTCACAAAATACAGGGACAGACACTCTCACTACCCGACAGACACACACATACTATCTCTCATCATATGCTTTGAAAGCTACTGAAAAAAGTGAGAAAAAGTGTTTTCCACATAATATTCTGTAAATTCTTTGACTGTTTTTCACACAACATATAACACAACAACACTTGGATTGTATTGTTTTTTGGATACAATTGTTTTTGTAAATTGTTATCGAGTTTTGACTCTTTTTTCTTGTGGTAACTCTGATCTCTTGATTTTCATTTCCATTCATTTGATATATGGTTTTCCATTCACTGAATCCAATGATTTACTGTAGAAATACTGTATATTTCTTGTGCCAACTTTTTCTCTCTGTTTTGTATACCTTTTTCTACTGTAAAAATGCTGTGTTTTTGTAATGTTTTCATTATTATCCGAGTTTTCAATTCACTGTTCAATTGATGACAGAAAAGTTTTTCCCAATACTATAGTAATGACACGATTTTGTGTCTCTTTTTTCGGTCGATAATCAATGGCTCTAAAAGAGCGCTTAATTTACAATTCATTTAATTGGGGATTAGTTTTATGATTATATTTGAGAATCTATTAAATGACAGGAATTTTATAGCGATTTTTAATTGAATGCTCACACAATTGATGCGACAAAACGTCAATTCATTTAAGTAATCGTCTTATTTATACTCAAATTGTGTCCCAATTTTTATTTAAGGATTTGAAAAAATCTTATTATAAGTACCGGTAGTCTTAAGCCTCAATTTGTACACCTATTTGTCAAATCAGTTATTTGTTAATTGAATTGAAATAGTTTTTTCTAATCGCGAAATGAACGATAAGTTTGTTTTGTGTAACGATAACTCAATTTGTAATTAAGTGTCCATTTTATTCATTATGTATTGTATTTGTATTATTAGAATATTATTACTGAAACCTCTCATTCAGACGGACAGACAGTTTGAGGACTGAAATGCAATATCAGAAACCAAAGCTCATCATTAGATTTATAGTAAAATTTAAAAGAAATTTTTAAAAATTAATTATATTATTATTATTCCCATAATTATTGATAACAAATATTTGTTGTAATTATAGATTTATTATTATATTATTTTATAAGTATATTATTATTATTATAAAAGACTTGTCTTATCATTGATTTCTGATTTTTTATAAGTAAGCGATGAATGGGAAACACATGTGACGTGTGTTTGACTTTTAAATAAAATAATTAATTATAGAAATTAATGAATTGATGAAAAGTATTGGATATAAAAATTGAAAAATATATTTATTATTAATGAATACGAAAATAATAAGAAAATGATAAACACTTTGATATATATTTCGACGACAAAACCAAACGATTGTATAGTAAGCGAGAAAAAGTCTTTTTCCAAAGCAATCAGTGTTTTTCACACAGAATTAAACGCTTTAATGGTTTTTAAGTTTTTTTTAATAACTCATTAGTAAAACCAGTTTTTTGTTGTGTGAATAGCGATTACAATGAGTGCACACAATAAGTGGTATGCATCGGACAACTGATTGTAACAATTTTGTATTCATATGGAAAGCATAGTGTAATTACGAGACTAAACGTTCAATTCTTGTCATAAAATTGTGTTTTGAAGTAAAATACAAAATAATAATCACAAGTAATCCTTTAAATATAAGCGAACAAAACAAAACCATACAATAATCAAGCGATTCATCGATTGGTTTTTTCGTGTTATTGTTTTATTTGTAAGTCATTTACTAAATGAGATAAAAAAGTATATTATATATAGGAATCGGTTTTGCAGTCAATTAGAGAAATGGTTTTTTAAACGACAATATAATAAATAACACACTTTTTTAAAACTCTTGAGATTCCGTACGATTCCGTACACAACAAAAAACATGACATGTATTACTACGAGTGCACAAAAATACCATAACTATACCTGTATGTAAAACACATTCAAATAAAAAACCACTATAAATCCATTTGTATATTAACTGGTGTTTTGAATATAATATTATTGAATTACTTTATAAAAAACGAAAACATTTTAAATAGATTTTAATTATGAATATCATTATATTGTATTAACGGTAAACAGATTTATATTACAAAAACAAATCACTTTTTTAATTACGGTATTATTTATCACAACATTTTATGAGTAAAAGAATTAATTGTAAATTCTTGACATATGATTTCGAAATCAAAAATACATTTTATTATTATTTTTACATTCAAATTCTTGTATTATATCAGTAAATTAAAAAAATTAATTATAAAATTTAAATAACCATTGATGCACTGTAGGGAAGGGGGTGTATGTCTGGGCTATGGAAAGGGAGGTATGTTCAACAAGGTATTCATTCTGGTATAGAGTATAGGATAGAAAATAATTGCTTTTACGGTATTTAGTAATTTGAGTCAATTTTGAGGTAATTTTCAAGAATACAATACAGGGATGAGTTGGAAGGCGTCACTAGTGACCACAAAAACGCCTACACTTTGAGGTGTAGTTCTTTGGCGACGGCGAGGACCGACATATGCATCAATTGGTTGCGGTTGGCATTGAAGGTATCGATGGCCAGCTGTCGGGTCTCATCCCAGGCGTACAGCGCTCTGTAAATGGGTTTCAAGAACTTCATGCGTCCCTGACTTGTGATGAACTGCACGGCGTCTGTCGTACAGCCCTTCCAGTGGGCCGTCAGCGCCAACCGTAACCACAGGGACCGGACCTCGGAGTTCATATTCTTCGTGAAGCCGTACGCCTGAGTCAATGCCTCCACTTTGCCGGCGCTGAGCACCGGTTCGGCATCGAGCAGTTGGTTCAGGAACTCCACTATTTGCCAGGTGTTCATCGATGAGATATCGTTGACTTGGAATTGAGACAAATCCGCGTCTTTTGCGGCTATCCATCGTTGAGCCAATTCTGTGCACTCCTTGGCCAACGTCTTGTCGTAGTCGGGAATAATGGTCGGCATTCCCGTGCCGTTCAACCATACCTCCCAATCGACTTGTTTCAGGCGATCGGCGCTATCCTTGAAGTAGTTCTCGAGATACGCGCGAAAGTCCTTCGTGTCGATCGACTTATACTTGAAATGATCGATATATGTCTTGAGGAACGGCTCGAACACTTGCGGTCCTCCGAGGAGTTGTTCCAAATAGAAGAGGAATGTGTGGCCCTTCTCGTAGGGAACGCTAGAAAAGGCGTCGTCCGGGTCCACACCTCGCGGATCGATCAGTAATTTAGTGTACGGACTGTCGGCGCCCATGGCGTCCACGGCATCCTTAAGCTGATTAAGGCCTTCGATGGCCATAAACTGTCGGTGCGATTCGCCGCCATTGAGTCGGCCGTCGATCTTCATCTCCAAGAATCGGGTGAAACCTTCATTGAGCCAAAAGTGGCCCCAATTCTTGTTGGTCACCAGATTGCCGGTCCACGAGTGGGCGATCTCGTGGGCGACGACGTTCGCGAGGGACCGGTCGCCGGCCAATAGGGTGGGCGTCACGAACGTGAGGCACGGGTTCTCCATTCCTCCGTAAGGGAACGACGGCGGCAGCACCAGTAGGTCGTAGACGCCCCACACGTACGGCCCCACTATGGACTCGGCGGTCGAGATCATCCGTTCAGTGTCGGCGAACTCGTAGGCGCACCGGTCGATGAGCGCCGGCTCCGACCACACGTGACTTCGAGGGCCAATCTTTTTGGACACCAGATCGCCGACAGCGATGGCTATGAGATAACTGGGAATCGCTATCTTCTGGTGGAAGCGATACTCTTTTGTCATTTGGTTATCCGATTGGTTCCAAACGCCGGGACCCTCGCGTACGGCACTCATGAGTACCACCAGGTCTTTGGGCACCTCTACCTGTGGGACACGGAGTTATGTTAGCGATATCTTACGGGTAATAAAGTGGTGGTCAATGGCTTACGTCCGCATCGTATGGGGCCTTAACGGCGGGCGTGTCTTGGAGTGGGATCAGTGATCGACAGTGAATGGCCTGACACTGGCTTAAGAGATAGGGCTGTCGTTTGCCGGCCGTCTGTTCCGGTTTAAGCCACTGAAGGGCCGTCGCATTAGGACTCGTCCGGTAGGCGATGCGAACCACTGACCGGGTTTTCGGTGACAATTTGACGGCCAGTTTGGAGCCAAACGGAGCCACCGGTGCACTCAACTCGTACTTCAGCGGCTGATCGGTGTCCACGTCTCGCACATCGCTGATAGTGAGGCCCGACGTGTCCAGCAGTACCTCATCGACAGACTCCACCTGTTTCTCGACGGTCAGGTCGACGGTGGCGTCGATTATCTGCTCATCGAAGTTAATGTAAGCTTTCCATTGGATGTGTTGTACGCGACAGAGGTCTGGTCGCGAGTAGGAGTTGGGATCAATTGGATTCCTCTTGAGCTCGTCGGCCATCGTCTTGCGGTCAGTGGTTTGCGGTCTGAGGTATACGTAGACAAAGGCTGAGACCAGGATTGCCACCGAAGACAGTATATAACTGAATGACATTAGAGATAATAAAAGTAGTGATAAAATGTAGTTTTTATTGCAAATATGGTTACGATTACTGTTATCACGAAAAATAATTAGTTTATACTTTCGATGATTAGATATGTGTTTACCGTATGGAGTGATGAGTGTCTAATGTGTTCATTAAATAGTGTGTAATAGTTATGACACTAATTATGTAATGATTTAATTAAATGCTAAATATTTGGTGAAGCAATGCATACATTGTATGCAAACAGTTGTGTTGTTTACCTGAGAAGTGCAGTCAAAACACAACATGTGTTTGCGATGCAAACCAATAGTGGGTTGAGTTGTGGATACTATTAGAGAAATAGTTTTTTAGCGCAAAAAACTTTTTTTACATCTGATTGTCACTCAAACTGATCCGACAGATGTTCAGATAATATATGAAATAACTTTTTTTCGTTTATACACTGAAATGCAGATTATTTTTATTGAAATAATTTGTAGCATTTCTGTGTAATATTAATACAATTTTCAGTTTACTATTAAGTCTATGTCATAGACTCTGTGATACTATTAATAAACTAAATTTGGATTCACATTAAAAGTTTCAAATTGTGTTTATTTTGAATGACAATCAATTTTTATAGTTTCAAAGCATTTATTTGTGTCAAAACCTAATACCTAATTGTGTTTCTAATGAATAACAATAATTATTTTCCCCTCAGTTAGAGTTGTCTGACCCCGCAATATGCTATATTTACCAGGAACATTTCAAACTGAACTATCATTTAGAGATTTTTGGCATATTTTTTCATATAAGCTATGAATTGAATGAATGAAAAGACAAAAAAACTACATAAAAGTCATTAAACTTTTGTGGATTTTAACACAATTACGGGATTTATATAGTAATTAAAATACAAAGAATTTGCTTTCTATAGCTATTTATAATTAAATTAATAAAATTGTTTAACTTTATAACCGGATTAATAGATTAAATTCCTGCATACCTATACATACATACAACAAATTGAAAATAAATAATTTAAATAAATAATCAGGAGCTTGCTTAATTATTTATGCAATAAATGTTAAACAAAAATTAATCTTAATGTCAGTGAATGGGAAAGACTTTTAAAAACATTTGTCAATTGAATTCATGGACTTTGATTACTACCAAAAGGAGGCACTACTTGAAGCACACATTAATGCATAGGCAAAGTCGTACCTTTAAATACTGTCCTTAAACAATACAATCCTAATACAACTGCGTGTAAAATAGTACTGAAACGCGACTCACATTAAGCGCCAAAATGTTTGACATTTAACTTGTATTTTGAGCGCTATTTCAGTCATTCATTGAGTGTTTGACTGTTTAGACAATTAGTGAGTCTTTCGCAGACACTGACCACCAGATTGTGATCACCGATGGATGAGTTGCCGCCCATTAAGAAGCTGTCGGCCACACAACTGGCTCTGAGGGAAGCGCTGAAGAATAGGCCACAACTTCGCGTCCAAAGGCCGCCCGTTGTCAACAATTTTGTCATCTTTGATGACCACAACAGCGCCCGTAAGACGAGTTCCCAAACACTTATGGATCGCTTCCTCAGTCACAAGACGTCGCAGAAGACGGCAAAGGATGGCGTCGAGAGTCCGCCGAAACAGAGGTTTAATTCGGGCCACAAGTGGTCGCAGTTGAAGACGATTATGAGTCAGGAGTTGGAGACGAAGCGCATGGAGACCGAGAAGGAGAGGGAATTGGAGTATAAGTTAGAGGAGGAGGACGGAGACGAAGATGTGGACCAATTGGCCGATCGCTTGACGGCTGAGTATAATGAAGACAATGACGTCGAGAGCGGCAAAGAGGAGGCCGACGACGATAATGAGGACAAGTCTGATGAGGAAGCGGTTGATAGCGATGTTGAAGAAGTGGTCGAAAGTGGCGCTGAAGACGAGGAGGAAGAAGATGCCAGCGATGGAGACGGCAATCCATTCATTGACGACGAGGCCGACGATGACGAAGAAGCGGATGAAATTGACGATCAAATCGATGATAAGCCGCGTGAAGACAACAGTCGGCGTAAAGGTTTTGGTGATAATAATGGCGACAAAGAAGGGATTCCTGTGGTTAAAGATGTGATGAAAGTCGATGACAACAGTCGACAGACCAGTCAGTCATCTGTGGCCGAGGAGGAGAGCGATGACAAACTGAATGAGAGTCTGTTGGACACATCCATCACCTCATTGAACGAGTCGTTCAGTAGTGACCGCCAGTTGAGCGCCACTCAGAAGATAGCGTTGTCTCCGTTTATATCCCAAAAGCCAAAGCCATGGCGAGTGGACTCGAGTCTCATACCATTGATTCCCAAATTTGATTCGCAGACCACCGATGGGTTCACTTCGCAGACACTTCTGGACCTATGTTCTGGAGATTTCTCAGAATCCGTGGATCACAAGAATGAGGACGAGAAAAGTCAAAGCACTCAACAGTCAGTTGATGGCGACGATGAGAACAAAGAGGAGGTCTTAAGCGACGCCAAGAAAGTTAGAAAAGTATTTAATATCCAAAGCGATGGCGAGTCGGACGACGAGGAAGTGGTAAAAGTGACAAAAGTGTCGAAACCGGACCTCAAAAGCGAGATATCGCTGAAGAGTTTTAACGAATCAGACGGCGAGGAGCTGGTGATGACTGACGCGGAAGTGTCTGATGAGGAGGAGGCCGACGACGACCAACAGAACGAAGACAATGACAACGACTCGGAGACCGCAGAGGCAGAGGAAAGGGATGTCCGGAAGATTGGGCGCAGTTTTTTCGACGACGAGGCGGAGCT